TCTATAAAAACTGTGTATTTTTTTACATGCATCATTGGCAACACTATAAAAATATGTATTTCAATGAGAGTAACTGGATTTCATTTCGTTCCGCTGCTCTCACGTTTGAGAAAAAATTGAGTATCCAATATTTCTATATTTGAAAATACAAGTATGGGAAATTTTCATATTAAAAATGTGCCTTTTAGTTTGAGAACGCTATCAGCAGTTATTTGAGATGGGTTTGAGAAGTAACGTTTGAGATTTGAGAAAGGGACTGACTTTCAAATGAATCTCAAATTGAGATTTAACAAAAATGTTTATTGGGGCACGATTTTTGGAGTGAAACTTCCTTGGGCTAGGTTGACTATATATAAATGCAAACATTGATGTAACGAAAGAGCGACCCAATCATTGTTGTATATTTAATTCTAAAATCCAATTAATGGAAAAGGCTACGGAAGGCACGATTAATCGCGTCTTCTTTTCTACCGAAAAATTTTGGAAATTTTACAATTCAAGGCAAAGGTGGTTGCTCATTCTCGCGCTCATCATACGCTCCGGCAATCAATAAAAAATCGATTGAGTGATACAAATAGGATTGATTTTAAAATATAACTTGTAAGTAAGTTTGCTATAAATAAGCGTTAAATAAGCGTTTTTAATATTAAGTTTATTTCAAGTATTTTCAAATAAACCTTTAATAAGTGTTGAGAGCGAATATTTATAAATCATTTAAATTTAAAAATGAAATGCAAATGCCAACGAAATGAAGCAGCAAATATAATATGTTTTCAATTTTAAGTGACGTCTTTACGTTCTTTAAAATATATTATTAAAATAAAATAAAATAAAGTCAATGTCGCATTTAAAAAGTGAAAAAGACAGTGTAAAGAAATTATAAATTTGAAGAGTGAATTCCGCGGAAGAACAAATTGAACATAACGTTACTTCCAATCCAGGACCCGCTGCGCTATTCGGTGGAGCATTCGAGTCTTCAAATGATGAGTTCTCCTTGAGTTATATCCTTGCTTACTTTTACATTCAATTAAAAAAGATAGGCGGCGATGAAGCGGAATATTTAGCTGCATCGATGTCATTTTTCCATTTTGCCAATAACCGCATTTAATTGAAAGCTGCTGCACAAGATGTAATAATTACATAATTTGTTTATGCTTAATGTTTGTGTGTTATTTACATTTTCGCGACTGTAAATGAGTTGGCAGAAAATTCGCATTTCTTTTAGTTTCTATATCACATTTGTTAGAAAATATTTGGATGTTACTGCACATGTAATATAAAGGGTTCTACAATAAGGGCGGGTAAATGTTAAACAATCTATGTATCGTTTAAATGAACGGTTATAAAAACGTTTGTAAAAAGCCTTCTTTTGAAAATTTTTAGTAAGCTTATATTCATAGGCTTATAAACCAAATTTTTTAACCTTTATTATAAGTTTACATTTATACGCTTATATACAGCTGTCTTTTGAACATTTATTATAAGTTTATATTTCCACGCTTATAACCAAGGTTCCATTTCGATGATATTACGATTACTTTCAACCGTTTTATAAGCAAAAAATCAACGTTTTGCAAGCTTAATGTTTATAATTGTAAACTTAAAAGAAGCTTTCTTTAAGTTTATTTTGCTTGTTGGGTGAAGATATGTATTTTTTAATTGTGTTAGTCAAACTGTAATGCACACTCACAAATTTGAATTTAAAAATTACTTATTGACCCACCCTTGGATTTCTTTTCTCACTGTAAATTTTATGTGCATCAGAATATCAAGGCGCCTATGTATGTAGATATGTACATACATATGTAACATTTGTACGGTTTAAGCACTTATGTCCTCATTTTATTTTATAAATAAGAAAAAGTATAAACCACACATTCACATCATAACAGCACAACTGGCGGAACAAGGAATTAAAATTTATAGTACTTCCAAAAACATTCCTGCTTCTCCGGTTTAGTAGAGACACAAACCACATTATTTGCTTTTAAATACGTTGACCAATGTAGTAGGCAAAACCAGTATTTTAGCCGCGCACAAAAGCGCCACCTCCTGTTAAAAATTCTAAATTGTGCTCTTCCTTTTCCTCACCGGGACTTCCGCTTTGTCCGTTGTATTCAAATGGAATTTTTATGCTGTGCTGTGGACCACTTACTTCTTTTTTTATGTACCAAAAAGAGTACCCAAATTGAAAAAATTTAACAAAATATGTTTTATCTCTATATTTCATTGATGAAATATTTTCCTAATACATAGATATTGAACTATTTATAATGATGCAACATAACTTTATTGAGTTAAATTCTCTGTAATAATTATTAATATTTGAGGAAATAGAAGCGACCTACATAGATCTACTGAGCTGATCCCATAAAAATTGACTCCATCCTTAGACCATTTAAGAAGTAAGAGAGCTATTGACTTACTTTGTACATGGACAACCACACAATGTTTTCCAGCCGCAGAACCTCAAGTACTGTCATGTGGTCTGTGAAAATTCTCAGACCCTCTCGTCTATAATTCAGAAATCATTCCAAAATTCATCTAGAGGATGTTATAAAGTTATTAGGTGCGTTTTTCCCTAGGCACTCAGAAAGATCATATGACTTAATTGGGATCATATAAACGCATTGGGACCCAGGCTTTTCTAGAACTTCAGCTCCCGCGTTGCCACCAAAATCCATATATCCAGGTACACACTACTTGTGCGTGTTTGATTGGCTCAATAGAGTTTTGCAGTTGACCAGAAGCCTTGATGTAATTTTGAAAGAGTTCAGGGCTTTTAGAAATGTCTGACATTGCCATCCTCGAGCATGCATGCACCAGTATACCAAAGGCTGCAAGTGCCGCTTTCAGGAGTTATTAACGAACTTGTAGGGCTTGTTGAAGGCTAATTACGGTAGCATTTTGTGTGCGAGTTTGATCTTAAAAGAATGGTTTTAAAACCATCAAGCGCTTACGAAAGTCTTGACTTCTGGTGCTTACCAAGTTTCTGAGACACAAAGCGTCCCCGGAAGCCTCATTGTCAATTAGTATGGGTATATGTGGTACAGCTATCATGGCCCTCAGTGTTTTGCTCCGGCAGGTGCGTATAGCTCATGTGATGGCTACACAGACTCAGACTCATCAGTGTCATCTTCCCAGCATAGCGTCGTAACCAGTTGCAAGAAAAACGTAAACAAGTGGCACAAGTGTGACGTCATACAAACAGCGATTCTGTCAAATTCAGCGGAAAGCGGTACGGAGATGGGCGCCACCTTTGTTCTCTATATCGTGACTAGGCCATTACTGTTTACGTGATAATCGGTTTTGTCGCGGTAATGAGTGACCAAAACGTCATTTTGGGCGATATACCCTATATTTTACCGTTACGTCTCTGAAATTCTTGTTGTTAACATCTATGATACCTGACTTCTAGTTGAACCCTTTGTTCAGGGTTATTCCTAGATAATTCGCCTCAGGCGATAAATAATTTACGAAATTCCCTATGAGTGTTAAGTTAAGTTGACTTTCCTTCTTTTGGTCAAGAAGCGATGGTGGACTTTGGTGGGTTTACTAACATACTCTTTTCAGAGAACCATTCCTTGTCAGTTTGAAGCCTTCATCGCTGCCCACCACGTAGATGAGTATTAAGAATATCCCATCTTGCCATGGCCTTGGATTTTTCTTCGCATGATGAACTATCAAACACAGCTGAAATGTCAAGGAACGCGCATACAACAATGCCTTTCCAATTACCTGAGTTTGACAATGTATTGCAGCAATAGTAGATTTATATCCATTTTGGCCTACACTCAAGGCTAAACCTTTAAATAGCCTTGCTTGAGCTTAAGAAATATGCACAGTTAAAAAAATAAAATCATTTTCTCACTCAAAATTTCCGCAGGAACCACAAAAAATTTAGTTTGGAAACTCAGTTACCAGCTTTCAGTTCCCAGTTGTCATCAGTAATACACTGCCATTACTGAAAATTAGAATTGACTTTTTCGCCAAAATATTACCAGCTCTTTACCAATCAAATACCACATACCTATTTTTTCATTTAGTAACTGTATAGTTTATATTTATTTAGTACAGAATATAGTTATTATTTCTCTTCACTTTTACTAAATATCCTGCCTGGGTACTAAGGTAAGGTATGAAAATTATTTAGGGACATGTTTAAGCTAATCATGCACTTATTTATAGTAATACAAATATTTTAATGTACACTATGTACTTTTTCCTAAACCTTTATATGTATTTGTATTGGTTTTTGTATTTACATCAAACTTTAATTAAACTATTAGTAAAATAATACAAAGCACAACGCTCCATTAGAAATTAATTATAAAGTATGCATAAAATAAATAATGAAGTGTTGTAAAATACCTATGTACATATAAACCATTTATACAACAAATCCGCGAGCTATATAAAATGGTAGAAGTGAAAACTGGGTATACAGAGGTCATATACTTTTAAAATGCAATTAATGCAGGAAATAAATCAAAAACATTATTGTTTCAAATAAATAATTTTTTTTTGTTGAAACTGTTACGCATTTTCTTCTATACAATATGCTTATATTCGCCTATTTTGTTTTATATAGAAGAAAATGCGCAAAACCCTCGATTTTTTAGAAACTTGAAACTTGCGTCTTTTTATACTAAAATTTATTGGGCTTAGAAGCTGCATACTTCCAAAAACAATATATAAGTCAAAAAAGTGAATTATTATAAACTTTGTATAAAGTTTTTTGTTATAGGATGCTATGTTTAAAAAAAATAATGGAAATTAAATAAACAAAAAGGAATCTGTCAAGATCCTGAAAAGGTCGGTGAAAGCGTTTTACAGTTGCACCTTTTATCCGCAATTAAAAAGTGCTTTTCAACTAAAATAGAATTTTTATTTCCATTAAGTGGTTGAAAGTTCTACAAAACTTTAGAAGTTTTAAAGGCTTTGTGAAATCATAAATGTGAACGAAAATCTAGGAGCTCTGGTTTTTTTCCAAATAGGAAAATCGTAGGAAAGCTCACGAAAAACTTTGTGAAAGCTGTTGAGTTGAACAAAGCTATTTAAATACTAAGTCAAAGCTATTTAATTGAACAAAGTACTTGAAAAGCTTAGTTAAAGCGATTGCTGTAATAAAAGCGCGCGGTGAATAAAACAAACAATATCAATCTAAAACAATTCCAACCTGCTAAAAGGAACCCAATATAAATTAGAGCGAGAAATGCATCATACAGCAAGTTTTTTTTTAAGTAGATATTTTTTTATTGAATTTTATTTTAGGCATCTAATAAAATAAGTCAATAACTTTCGGCGCGATAATTATTTAAATGTATGCGGTACATGTATGTAGGTATGTGACACAGTTTAACAGTTACAATCCGGATTTTTCTTATCGTACATTATCTACTAAACTTAATTTTAAGCTTTAACCTAAAGCTTAGTACTTAAGCTATTTTAAATAAATTCACTTATGTTATTCATCTACATGCATATAAAAACTACATTTTAAAAATAGGTAGCCTACAAATCTTTTTACAAGAAACAAAATCTTTCCAAATTACTGACAAAGAACAAAAAATTATATGCTTATATGTATGTATAAATTAGTTTTTATAAGCATTCAGGATTTCCATATATAAACTAAGTTTAGGCAAATATTTTTTTTTTGTTGACAAATTCGTCATATGCATACATATGTGTGTGTTTATATATCTATATTTAAGTTTATAACCGAAATTAATAGCAGATATATTTAAAGTTAAAATACTCGCTTAAGTGAAGCTATTACAAATGCAGCTGCGCTTAGTTTTTCAGTAGTTTTCTTACAGAAAAATAACACTTTAATTAAAATTATGTATGTAGGTATGTATGTATGTATGTACATTTCTATGTTAAATCAATTGTATGCTTTGGTATTTTTAGTTTACTTGCAAATATGCGCGATTTCTATTCTTCATTTAGAGCTGGGTTCCGAAGATTTTCTTCTCCTTCAGTATTGTGCATTTTTCCTGCTTTCACAATTATTTTAAACCACCATTTTTTATAAATATTTCTAATTCGGAAGCACTACCACTTAGAAATACTGAATACGACATTTTTGCCCTGTAGCTTCCTTCCATTCGCTTAAGTTCGCTTTAAAAATTTAAAAAGGCTTTGAAATGGTTTTAAACGCAGAGACTGATTAGGAAATGCAAGCTACGATTACTTCTGTAGCCTCCGATGTTAATATTGTTTCTGCTGTAGGCGTATAAATCGGTGTTCTGAGTTCGGTCCTTGAAATCGTTCGGAATTTGAAATGCTCCTTAATAGCCTGGTGCATTTACTTCGTCGCGTGTAGAGATTTGAAAGTTATTTATTATTAAAGCAATGCCGTAAGCATCGAAAGAAATTTTTACTAAAGAACGATCTGCGTCGCACATGGTGGAGTAGATCTTATTTACTGCTTATTTGTTGTCTTATTCTATGTACAATTCAGCGTGAGCTGTGGAACATTTTCATTTTATATTATTCTAGGATTTTCTTTATTCCAGTCATATTTCGGTATGCTTATTTTCTATAAGTAGTTATCATAGCAAAGGTTTGAACTCTTTCTTCCTACACTTCTCGAAGTTTTGTAGCTGTCCACTTTGCTGTTACCCTCTGGCTCACTGTTGCGGCAGCAACCTTACGTTCAAATAGTTTCCTGTAAATATTTTTCCTTTTTCACATTTTCCCTCCTTCTCCTTTGCCTTGGCTTATGACGTTGTCATAAGCGCATCTTGTAAAACGCCACCATCGCTTAAGGGTCCATTGCTATTAGCTCCAACTGCAGCGCCCCCACTTTTCATCACCTTTGTCGGCGTTTCTTCGGTACTCGTTGTACTGGCTGCATCGGCAATGTCTTCATCTTCGATATCAGCATCTGCGCCACTTATACCACCCCCGCTCACATCTTTGGCTTCCTCCGTCGTATCTGTCATATTATTGCTGTCTAAGAGTTCCGTTTTATTCTGGCTTAGGTCCGCGGGTGAGATGTTACTGGAACTGTTACCGGTTGTATTGGCTATTAATAGACCCGAATATTTTATGCCGTTTAATTCGAGATTGACGACCAATTGTGGTTCACCATTGGCGCTAGTGCCTGCAGGAAGAAAGAAAAGGAAAAAAAGAAAAATTAGATTACAATTTTTTTAGAGGTGATAATTCGTCGAGAAAGGAATTAAGGAATTCAATATTATAATCATAATTCAATATTATAATAATTCAATATTATAATCATAAGACTAACCCCGCAATTCTGTGCACTTGACAAATAAGCAAACTGGACTATTTATTTGTCAAAAATTTGCGCCTAAAACTATGCCGCTAGGATTTGTTTGTATTTGACTAAATAAGTTGTGCGTTTTAAAGCGCCTAAAATTGAAGTTACGCAGCATAGTTTTGTTCATAGTTCTTTTGACAATTAGTCAAGCTTGACAATTTTCAATAGCACAGAATTCGGGGGTAAAACAGCAGTGGAATTCTGAAAATCGCTACCTACATTTTCGTGGACAAAATTCTCTAAATGAAAAGCAGTGGGCCTAAAAGTATGCAACATGGAAAAGTAACAGATGCAATGTGTAAACAGCAAAATCTGGCAGAATGAGGGGACATGAAACTACATGTTGCATGTGCACGCCTGTTTTATTTGGGAGATATTTGGTGATGAGCGATATCGAATGTTGGAATACGGCTGTAGATTATTTTTAGGAGAGGGTGATAGCTACACATTGTATGCTCTGATGTTTCCGCCACACCTTGCACTGATGTAAATAGGCAAACCCCAAATTTCAAAAATGACTAGTGACTATTATTATGGCATATACTATATAAGAGGCAGCCAATTGGCTACACACCAATGCTTTGCCGATGTATCTACTCTGATAGCCAAGCGGCAATCAGAGTACTGGTACCGCTAATGGTACGTTGGAAACTGGTCGGGGATGCCTGACCTTTCTCTCAACTGCCTCAGAATACTTCCAATTCAAGCTGATTTGAAAATTGCACGGCTAGGCAGCGCACCTTCGAGGCCATCGCCTCGGATAGGGAGGGCATAGGAGTACCGTGGCAAACTTCGGCCTATGCCTGGCCAGAAGAGCTCACAGTAGGCTCAGCCAGCGCTGGGCAAAAACCTTGATATGCAAAGTTGGAAGGTCCTTCGAGCCAGTTGTTGACTGGCTTAACGCCAGCTCTCGCTTCTTACAGGTTCACTGACCGCGTAGCGACTTAATGTCGACACTGATCCCTACTGCCGCAGTTTAGATTTAGAGATCTTGCTGTCTGAGGAAGGGTTTGAGCCTTTAAATACCTGGAATACTTCTTTTCTGGTCAAAATATCTAATTTAATAGACCGTCTTAGAAATGGTTCTTTCGCGTAAACCTCAGCCTGGAAGACAGATTCGTCTTCCTCCATGTTGCAAACTGGGTGGTAATCCATAGATTCTTGCTCCAACACCCTGATCGTTCCTTTTCTCAATAAAATTTGCATAAGCAGAAGACACTTGAATAACACTCCTGTCTGGATAGAAACTTTTTGAGGTTTCCTGATCTTCGGCTGCGTGGATAGTAAGTTATCGAAATGTCCATCTCAAGGTCCTGGCCATTTACATAACTATATCTACCTGACTTCCATGAGAGCTTGTCATCAATTCGTTCGATTAGACTCCTTCTATTCTTTTTCTAAGAGATGATAGCAATGCTCTCTGCATAGCTCTGAATTGCGAGTCTGTGTCGCTAAATAGACATGGTAGGCCGTTAAATACGAGAGACTGTAATGTAAGCAACATTTCGTGGATGAGAACCTGACTTTCTCTTGCTCGCTAGAAGGGGCTACAGCCTTGCAAGTCTCTACCTTTTTATTCCGGAGCAAGGTGTCGATAAGAGGATGCTCCATATTGACGAAAGGGCCTTGTGTGCTTAGGGAGAAACCTGTAGCATACCCTTTGTTCACAATATATTACTAAATCTAAGACTTTGAAAACCACGAATGGCTGATCTTCCTAGCCGGTAGCCGTACTTAATAAAAAAGAGGTTTCTTTAAGAAAACAGTCTCTTATTTGCCTGACTTGAATGCTTTTCATAGTCGATAGAAGTAAAAGCCTGTATGAATTTGCTATCTATATGAAAGATCTAAGTATGTAACTCTGCTTCAAACTTGATCAGAAAAAATCCTGTTTAGAAACGACTTTTTCCCTTTTTGTCTCATAACGAAGTGCGAGTTGCGCCACTGCCCCTGTTTTGCATCTAAAAAATTGCTTACTAGTTCCTACCACAAATGTACATTTCCTCCATGAACCTACAAACTTGCAAATTGTTCAACTCTAAATTTCACTTATCCTATCTCCACTAAAAGAGAGTAAATTAAACTTCCCTCACGTCGCTTATACTTACCATTTCGCATAACGCGGAATTGCATGCCCGATAGCAGGTTGAGAGCATCTTCTACACCACCCAAATCTGGGCTTCTAGACTGCCCACCCGTACCACTGCCGCTGCAGTCCATCGCTGAAGTGGCACCATTATTGTTATGCTGTTTAGAAAGATGTATCTTCTTTGTGGATATCGGAGAGATGTGTCCACTGCTCACGCCAACAATGCCATTGCCGCTGCCAGCACCACCATCACCACTACCGCCACCGCCACCACCTGCGGACGCCGCACTAGTCGAAGGCGAATTCTCGATGGCCGAGTCATCAGACTTATCGTGATTACCGCTCGAACTGTTGCCGAGATGTTGATGATGCGGCAGGTGCAAATTGTGTGGCAAATGCTGATGGCGATGATGCTGCGGGTGGTGGTGGTGATGGCCATTCATTGATGCCGACCGATCGTTCTCGTCGCCGTCGCCGTCGCCGCCGTCACCGTCACCGCCTGCGCCCGTATGTGTCAATGAGTTGCCAGTCATGTTATGTGCATCGCTGCCATCCTCATCGTTATCCTCACCATCCGAGTCCTGTGGCAGATTGTTGCTGTTGTGTTGATGAAAATTGGCCGCTGCCGCTGCTGCTGCTGCTGCCATGCCAGGCGGTAGATAAAAGCTGGTTGGAAAGCTGAGAGCTGACGCACCACCAACGCCACGTTTCGCTGGCGGTGGTTGATGTTGGAAATCGTCGCGGTCGCAAGCATCCGGTGTTTGTTCGCGTTCACGTTCCCGTTTTATGTTGGTGAGATTGGGCGGTGAGTCGGAAAGATTCAAAGCCTCGCTGCTAGAAAGATGGTGAAAAACAAAATACAGTGATTAGTATGGATGCAAACCACAGGCAGAGCATGTGGCACTAGTGAGGTGAATATGCCAGTAAAACTACCAGCAGATGGCGCCATTAATAACGATTAAAAATACTCACTGCTGTTCGCTCAGACCCGCTACGCCAAGTGCAACACCGCCGCTGACGCCACCACCGCCAATGCTTGCGGCACCTAAAGCACTTCCCTGGGGCGAGGCATTCATCGACGCTGGCGGGCTGGTGTTGTTGTGATACATTTGCCAAAAGGCTACACGTGACATCTCCAATGCATTCATCGCCTCGCGCGTACTCATCTCTGGGCTCTGTGAACGCTGGCGTTGCGGCTTTATGTGTCCGGCGCTGCCACCACCACCACCACCACCCCCAACACCAGCAGAAGCTGCACCTGCACCTACACGCCCCGCGGCCATCGCTGCCGCAGCAGCCTCGCCTACTCCAACTCCGGCAACATTGCCGCCAGCGGCCGCCGCCGCCGCTACTGCAGCCGCGGCAACGCTACTCTGTTGCTCCTTCTTCACCTGTATCAGTTTTAGGTATTCCATCATACGCTGTTCGAACTCGTGCGTCACCAAATTCGGCATTTGGCCGAAGGTGGGCGCCATCAGTCTATGGTGTGCGGCAGCAGCGGCGGCCGCTGCTTGCGCCTGCTGATTGTTGGCGGCGTGTGTGACAAGCGCCAACGGTGACATTTGTTGAATGCCTTGCGGCAGCGTTTGACGGCCGATTTGTGGCTAGAGTGTGGAGAAAGAGAAAGTGGAATGCCGATTAGTATGGTGTTAATAATTATTTTTTGCTTTAAGTATATAAATTAGTTTTTGATTTTACTCACCATTTGCATTTGACTATGCATTGCCTCGTATTGGCCATAGCTGGAGCGGCGGCCTTCGCGGCGATTACCGTCGATGGCGGCCTGTAGTTCGGAGGGTGTACTCAAATTTTTCTTATCGCATTCGTAGGGATAGAGATATTTCATATACCTGAAAGAGAGGAGAAAGGACATTTGGGGTTTAGTAAAAAGTTTTGAATTGAAAGTTTTTGAGAAAGTTTCTTGATATGTATGTAGTATGCATATACATATGTATGTGACGCCTCACGAAGAAACACACCTTGGCTTGGGAAATTTTACGGGACGGCCGAAAGGAAAGGTAGCACGATTTTATATGTAGCTTTTTGGCTCAGATCCGCTTTTAAAATAGAAAAGCAATTGTTTTATTTTTTTTTTGTTGTTTTGAATTATCTACTATATGTTTTCTTATTGAATATATGGACGAAAAATCAAATTTTTGGACGCATGTTTCTTCGTGCGACGTCACATGTGGACATACATATCGCACACCGTCTTCAGAAGAGTCACAACTCAAAATTTGGCATTTTTGAGATTATGCGCTAAAAATTTACACATCGATTTTATGTATTTACCTCTCAGCAAAAGCTGGAGCAAATTTTTGTAAGAATTTGTTTAAAAAACCTAAGGAAAAGTCGCCCTTGCCCAAGTGATTATCATTTGCTAAGAAATAGTTTCTCGCATTTTCTGACAAACGTATATTTTGTATATATGTATGTACATATATATATGCCTTATGAAATTTCATAAAACATAAAACCCAGTATTTTCTTCAACTATGCAGAAAGCCTCCGAAGAGAGAAAACTGATAAATCTATAATATTTTGATAAAAGTAACTGAAGTGACTTTAGAAAGTTTGACTTTGGAATTAAAAAGAATAGGCTTCACTTGTTGTATATTTTTATGAAGCTTCTATGAAAAGGGCATACGCCTATGGCTAGTTAATCGTTAAAATATTTTTTTGGGAATCCTATGAAATATTGCTTTAAAGAAAAAATTGCGAAAGTGTGTTTTCGAAGTGTCACAGAAGTAATAATAAATAATACGCCAACTCATCGGACCAGTTCAGTGAAACTTTAAAATCGAAAACGGCCGAATTTCGTCAAAAAGAAAGTGATATTTCACTACGGCAATGCCCGAATGTACACATGTATATTCGCCACGGCGCCATTTCATGAATGGGGCTACGAAATCCTACCTTATCTCGACGGCTGAGTCGAAGATCGATCTATCTCGGAAACCGGTTCGAAAACGGCCTATTTCAGAGAGATTTTCCAGGACGCCCTATATCAGAATTTTAATTAAGAACGCTGTATTTCTGAATTCGTTTCAGAAACGCCCTGTATCATTAGATTAGCTCTGATCCAGTACTCCTTGAACTTACAGGTTTTTACACGAACTTGCAGGAAGTTACAGGAAAAATGATCTCGTACTCCAAATTGCTCCAAAATCCTGTACGTAAGGGTGATATTTGGAGAGTTGTGTGGAGAATAAAGTTGCAAGATTTTACCCGAACTTTTTCTTCCGGTAAAATCATGAAATGTGTCAAGCTGACTTTTTACTCTCGCTTCAGAGAGTAATTTTGCTGTTTGACATTTTTACAGGATTTTGCGCGAAAAGCTAAAGAGCTATTTTTAACATATGGGCCATTTATTTTGAGAGTGGCATAAGTCGCTTTACGCCTCTTGTGCTTAAATCACCGGCTACTTGTATCTGAACGCGTCGGTTGTTCATTTAACTCCACCAACCAAAACTAGAAAGTTTTTACGTTAGTTTATGATGATAATACGATTTACAGATGCATTAGGTTACAAGTAGCTGGTCATTAAAGCACATTTCAAAATAAACGGCTCATATTTTCAGTTGAGATAGGCATTTTAGAACAAAATTCTGAGATAGGGCGTTCTTCAAGCTAATTTTGAAATATGGGGTTCTTCTGATGTCGGGCGTCTTAAGCCAGAGCCATTTTCTGAAATAGCTGGTTTTCGATGTTGAGCATTTTCTTTATCTGTCATTACTTCTTTGACGCTGCTGAACACCTAAAACTACCAGACTAAAGTAGTTTATAGTATCACGGATGGTGACTGAGGAGACAGTAACATTTTCTCTAGCCTCTTTTGACGGCCTTAAATCACTTCGCCTGGGTGGTGGTTATCCGAAGATACAAAGTGTAATGGAGAAAACTAGAAAAGGATGATTATATGCCAATCAGTTTGACAGCTTTCATTCTGAAGGAATGTACATTAGATAAAAGGTTTTGGTGGGAAGACACCAACAAGCATACTAACTGATCGTATCAACCATGCGTATCAGCTCTACACGACCTTGTAACAAAGCTCGAGTCGGGTCTGGAGGCAGAGGAGTACAAAGTGGGAGTCTTAAGCAGAGATCACACAATTTGTACATTTGGCAGTTACAGAGTGGTATTGTCTAGAAATGTTTAACGACAATGAGTTCTGCTCAATAACAACTTTCCAAACAACACCACTCTGTAACGGTGAAAATGGATAAATCCAGACAAATGTACAACTCGTGTGATCCCTACTTTAGATTATGTTGAGAGGCGTTGTTAAGCAACGTTACTTCCGACTCTCGGTGATCTGCAGCCAGGCGGCATGGCGTCTTTGTTGCCTCTTACCTAACAGAAATTCAACAGAGCCGCTGTTGCTCCTAATACTTTGTTGGATTTGTTACGCCTGGATTTAGTGATCCAGGAGGAAGCAGTGAAAACTATATGTTGACTATATTATTTTGATTTGTTTCACAATGAGATTGTGAATTGTTTAGACGGTTGTCACAGTAAGTAATAACTAGTGATGTGCCGAGTATTCGGTATATCCGGAGTCCGGCTTATGCAGCCATATTTTGGTTATCCGACTTTTTAGATCGGTATCCGGCCGAATTACCGGATATTGACTCTAGAAATTTTAATTGAAAGCCTTTTTCGGAAAAATTTGTTCTTTGTATTTTTTATAATCAAGTTTTTTATTAAAGTTAAAGATTTTCATATAATTAATTGTGAAACGAAGCTTTGTCGCACAAAAAGGACACAAACTAAATATTTGTATTTTTTTAGTATAAATGATGCCAGATGCACTAATCATTCTTTCTGAGATCACTAGAGAAGCTGGTCTTCTTGTCTGTGAATAAAGGAGAGTGTTAAATACTTCGTCATTTCATTTTAGTTATTTATGATTTTTATTTTTTCATTAAAAACATAAACTTTATTTTTGAAAAAAAAAATTTCCATCATCCCATAACCGTTATCTTCATATTTAAATAGATCATAGAGGATTTAAAACGGTAATCAAAAATCCGTCTTCCTTATAACGATTGACAATGATTGAAAAAATAAAAATCAAAATTTAACTATTATTCTTGATTTTAAAATAAACATTTAAAACTAACAATTTTGCAATGATCTAAAACTAAAAATCATGGTATTTAATTTTTATTTCCGGTGCCATGGGATCTCATTACTAAGGTACAGAACAGATATGTACCTGGAAAACAACCAACTTTTTTATGGCAGACAGAAGCAGAATACCCTAAAGCAGTGATTCCCAAAGTGGGCCAAGTGGACCAACAGGAGTCCACGAGAGACATGGCGGGGGTCTACGTTGGCGTGAAAAAGAAATCGGGGTTCACAAGTTGTAAGTGTGGGTCCATGAAATAACAAAAATATTGGCTTGGTTTTCCTATTAATGTAGGCAGATAATACACTACTCAAAAAAATTAAGAGAACAAAAAAACATGTATAATTTTTCGGTGATAAATGGTCACAACAACATTTTTTTCAGTTAGGCCGGCCTATGGATTAGATGGCCTGTTTATCAAGCTTCAACCTGTTTTTTTTGAACCTCCCTTGATTTTTTTGAGGAGTGTATTTTAACGCAGAGTTCGCAAAGATTTCTCTCTGAGAAATACAATTTCAATCTTCCTTATTACAACTCAATTCACGGGCAATCAATTTAGATTTATTTTTTTGTGAGTTAAACATGAAAGAGCGTTCTTCCACTAAACGTAAGATCTAAATTTCACAATTTTTGATGAGTTTTGGCAATATGGTAGAAATGTAGCAGCAGAGGCTCTACCAAAACTGGTAAAATTTTAAAAGGGAAAGAAAAAAAGTGTTTGGGAACCTCTGCCCTAAAGGAATCAACAAATTTTCGCTAATGCCGAATTTTGCCGACTTGTATGAGTTATTTTTTTTTGGATTTGAATACGCAAAAATGTTGTATTGAAAGTTGTGTAAAGTAATTGAACAAATTAGTTCGGGAAGTTTAGGTTCCATCCTGTAAAATTTGGAAAAATAGATTTTCACTCTAAGCTAGCAATATTTAATACGAAAATGAAGCTTCAATGTTTGAATACGCGCTGTTTTCAACTACATATAGCCTTTTTTGATCTCCTAGACTTTCCTATAAGGCTCTGATACGCTGCTCAATATAGCAAGACACAAATATTTAATGCCTGCGTTAAAAAAAAAAACCCCCAGTGTTGTCTCTTGTATTTATTAGTCATAATCAAAAAATTTGCATTGCTTTCATATACGCCGCTGACTGGCATTGCACATTAATTGAGAAAATCAAATAAAAAAGGCTGTACATTTGAAACACAAATCCAAGCGAACATCGAAGAAATAAATGCCTTCGCCATGAGAAGTCAATGATGATTATCAACGATCGTGGCTGTGGGCCTAAATCAACAAAAATATTTCCATTGTTGCACTTAACTGTTGGAAAGAGACAAAAGGCGGTGGAAGGAGAAAGAACGCTGCGAGCAATAAGACAAACTCCGATGACAAGACAAAATGCAAATGCAAATTCTCCAATGAGTAAACACGGACCGACAAGCTGAGATGCCGCCAACGGATCGGCCGCTAACCAAAACGGACCAACAAACGTACGATCCAGCAGGCGGGTAGGCAAACAGACAGGCAAGGGGTTAAGGAAATGTTTATTAAATATTGAAATAATAGAGTACTAACGCGATTGAATGCAAACAACAACAACAACAACAACAACCAAGACATGCTAATAAAATGAAAAAAAAAGGAAATGATCACTACTAGCTGGCTGTTGATCGACGATTGTTTTGACGGTTTGACTTCAACGGCACCAAATGATGCA